TTATTTATTTATTTATTTATTCATTCATTCATTATTCATTTATTATTATTTATTAATTTTTATTATTTATTATTTATTATTTATTATTTATTATTTATTTATTTATTTATTCATTCATTCATTATTCATTTATTATTATTTATTAATTTTTATTATTTATTATTTATTATTTATTATTTATTATTTATTTATTTATTTATTTATTTGTTTGTTTATTTGTTTATTTATTATTAGACTTATATACCGCTCCATAGGGCTTTCAGCCTTCTCTAAGCGGTTTACAATTTTTTTTTAGCAAATTGAGTCAGCAACTTGTCCCCACAGTCCAGGTCCTCATTTCACCCACCTCGGAAGGATGGAAGGCTGAGTCAACCTTGAGCCCTGGTGAGATTTGAACCGCTGAGCTGCAGATCACAGTCAGCTAAAGAGTGGCCTGCAGTACTGCACCCCTAACCACTGCGCCACCTCGGCTCTTAATTGCTATCGGTTTTGTTGTTTAGAAACAGCCTTGTCAGATGGAACCAACCTGCCCCCACCAAGGTCACAAAAGTTTCATATCAGCCCACCAGCAGCAGAAGAAAGAACCAAAAGAAAAGGAAGTGGTTTGTGGTCTGAACTTACTGGCTCAAATCATTGCAAGGTAATAAATGGCCATAGATTTGGGTTGGCCTCAACTGCCAGCCATTCTGTGTTCTCTCAAAACCTTCCCCCTTCTGTGGGGAGATTCTCTGGTGCACCTTTGAAAAGGAGCCTCTGGTCACCTCTTGCTCCCCACACCTGCTCCAAATCTGAAGCTGGAATGAAAAGCTCCATTAGCTGCCTCTTCCAAAGGACAATTCACTGAAGACCTCTCTTCCCCAAACCTCTCCAGCTCAAAATGGGAAGATTTAAGATTTACGGGCTGCACTCATATTTCCACATTTCTCACCCAACATACTGAGCCAGAAAGAAGCCAAATGTGTTCATAAAACACACGAACCCACAAAAAGAACCTGAAAAGTTAATACACACAAGTTTATGTTATGCAAATGGCTTTTGTCCTGCTGTGTGAACAGGATGATAGCCCCACAGTTTCAAACCAAACATATTTACTCCAAGTCCTAATATATTCAGTGAACAGTACTAGCATCTTTACCAAAAGACCCAGTCGCATTTTGATCTATGATCAAAATTTCCAAACACTCCCACCCCCCATCTTCTAGCTACCTTTTCCAGGAGGCGCTCCACCTTCCGAAGTGAAGCGCGACGAGGGGTTTTGTCAAGTCCAGCCCCACCCGGGGATCCGCTAGGATCTGAATGCTTTCCGCCGCTGCGCTTCTCCTCTTGCCGTTCAGCCTCACGCAGCTTCGCCTCAGCATTCAGGCAATCAATGCGGTACGTCTGGTATGACTTCATAGCCTAACAAATAGACAAAAGCTGATTGGCTCAAAGTTGCCAAACTTTGTTAAGAAAGAAAAGACAAATCTTAAACAGGATTAAACAAGCAGAATTTTAGCCAACAGTAAAATGTGGCTACAAAAAAAGGCAAAGGTGGTTTTAGATGACCTCTTCAGAAGTATACATTTCAAATCATGACAAGAAACTATTCAGCTCTATTGAATTCTGCTTTCATCTGACCCCATTTCAAGGACGGTATCCATTTTGGGGCACCACAAATAAAGAAGATTCATAAAAATTGAAACTGGCTAAATGCTGGAGATGTGATTGTCTCGATGCAACATACTATCATATATGGTGGACTTGTAAAAAGGTAAAAGCATTTTGGATAAAAATATGGTGGATTATGCAAAATGTTCTTTAAAAAAAGGATAAAGTTCACCTCTCAGTTGTTCTTGTTAGGTATAATTACTGATTGTACAGTTATAGAGACTAACCTGATTTTGCATTTAATAACCGCAGCAAGACTGTTGGTGGCGCAATACCGGAAGAAGGAAGATTTGCCTACTATTCAAGAATGGACATAAAAGTAACAAACCTAGCAGAGATGGTCAAAATATCAGCATATCTCAAAGACCATTCAAATGAGGGATATAAACTGGAGTGGAGAAGATGGATTGACTATACTCAAAATAAA